ATCTAGGCAGAAAAATCTGTCTCCACCCAAGCCTGAGCAGCTTCCAACGCAATCTTATTATCAGTAATGTCCTTCTGAAGAATTTTATTTCTTTGGGGGGGGGGCCTAGAGGAGAAGCTCTGAGAATAATTTTTCACAATAACAATATAGTAACTGACAAATCCAATTGGTCTTTTTCTTCCTGAATGTCACTATTGATTACCCCTCTACTTTGGAGAGATACCAGTGTCTTGGTTCTCCTACCTTTCTAGTCATTTTTGTCTTCATCTCCTTTCTTCGCTCCTCATATACCCCTTTCTTTCTATGTTAATTTTTATGGCAATCTCATTTATTTCCTCTATACAGATGATTCTGATCAAGGTCTAGATCCCTATATATAAGGGTTCACAGAACCAATCTCCTTGGAGGTCTCATCAGAACCTCAAACTAAGTATGTTAAAAACAAATCTTACTCTTTTCCTCCATAACTTTTCTTCCTTTTTCTGACTTCATTTCTGTATCAGTAGCACCAGCATGACTCTACCACAGTAATTCTTAGAACTGCCACCTCTTCTTTATTCCCACTGCCATCACCACAGTACCAGGTCATCATTTTCTCCAACAGTTCTTCTTGCCTTCACTTTCTTCCCTTCTTCATGCAAACACAAAGTCAGAATGATCTTTCTTAGACATAACATAGATCTGATCGCATCATATGTTTTTTCTGTTCAATGTCTGTTAATTGATTCTGACTGCTTATAAAGCAAAATTCAAATGTTTTAGCTTATCATTAAAGGCCCTCAATAATATGGCACCATCTTACTTGGCCAGGTTCATCCCATACTCATACTTTGTTATGTACAGGAAAGAGAATCCTCCTTCACATAATTAACACTCCAGCTATTAATTATCCTCCTTCTATCCCTTACATTTTTCTCCTTTCCTGACTTTGCTCAAATTGTTCCTTGTCCCTAAAATGGTCTCCTCTTTTTCCTATTATACTCATCCTCTCCTTGTTGAACATATCCTGTAAAGGTCAAATCAAATACCACATCCTCTATGAGATCTTTCTAGATTGCTCCCCTTACTCTATGCCGTCAGTTTTACCTCTCTTCACAGTATTTTGCTTCTGCATATCTTCAGCACAAATTTTTTTTTTTGTATTTCAGTTATTTTTGTATGAGTCATATCCAACTTGCTCTATGAGACCAGGGACCATGTGTTATTTAAACTCTGTAACCCAAGCAGCACCTAACACCACGCTCTGAACACAACAGACACTTAACAAGTATTCTGTGAAACGAATGGTCAACTTTGAATATTCCAAGGTCTATACCTAGTCTTTAATTTTCTTAACTCTTTCCGCACCTTGTGTAGATATTACTTATCACTTTCACCAGAGGTTGAACAAGGAAAAGAATGAGCGATATTCAAAAAAACCATTTGCTACCTATAAGCAACTTTGGTAAAAGTTTAAACTGGACAAGAGTTTGAAATTACTGACTAAAAATAATTTTTAAAAAATAGCTATTCAGCTGATATATCCAATCTATTTCTTTTAATTAGCATAGAGCTTAACATAAAAGGTTTTGTTATTGCTTTAATTATAAATCTTGGTTAGAATAGTTAAAGCTTTGACTAATATAGCAAGGTCCTAAAAATCTAATACGTGTAGTCCCAAGAAAGGGCCAATGCTTCTACTGCTTGCTCCTCACTCTCCTTTTTTGTATCACAACATCATTTTCCTGTTTGATTAGAAAGAAGACAAAACTTTTAAAAACATGATGATCTGAAATTGGCTAGTATGTCAAGATTTATATTAAGATGTTAGAGTAGTATTAATACACGCCAGACACAACTGAATGATTGTAGGCAAACATTTCTAAATGAAGATAAAGGATCAGGAAACTAAGAAGATTCTACTACTGGGAATACTAGATTTTCTCTGGACTCCTTTTCTAATATAAGTTGATTTTATTTAATGTTTATGGAGAGTCTTTGATGTGTTAAGTAATCTACAAAGCAATGAACATATGCTTCTCATGATGGGTAAAATCTAGTTGACAACCTAATGGCTCAGTCAAATCCACAAGAATAGAAGCCTAATGTGCAATTTATTCAGTGATACTGAAGCTACACTTAACTTTTGGCACTAGGTATGTGAGGAAGAAGGATAACAGAGTATCTCAAATTTCATATTTAAAAGAGAGCCTATTTCACTCACCTTGGATTACTACAGGATTAAGCTGTTTCTCTCTAGCATGGTGGCTTATTCAATATTAACACTTCATAAACTTAGCACAGGAGTAAAATACATAGCTCTAATAAAGACTGCCATTGAATAGTGATAGGATGTCAGACAGATAATGTAATTTTTTGGAACTCTAATATGCTCATTTACAAATTGGAGCTATTCTTACTTACAGTCTTACACTGGCTTCATGCCTCCCAAAAAATATGTGTGTGTGTGTGTGTGTGTGTGTGTGTGTGAATATTACTTGTCTTCTCATGTAAATATCACATGTCTTCTCATCTCACCTTCTGCTCTTCCTCTTTCCAGTGGCTTAAGTTTTTTTCTGTTATCATCATATTTTAATAATAATTTTTATAATAATTTCCACCATTACCTATTTCATATTACCTCCTCAAATCCCATTACCACATTTGCTATAACTTGCGCTTCCTATCACAGACTTCTCATGATTTATCTCAATTAGGCCTCCTCCTCTGCTTCTGCCATCCAGCTGTTCCAGAGGCAGCTGCGCTAGATTGACAGCTCATAGGCCTGGAAGCTAAGGAAAGCTCCATCTTTCAAACTCATTCTACCATTTCACCAACTGGTAGGAGGACATATTATTTTTAGTCCAAAGAAGTTGTTGTTTGTCCTCTGTTCTTAAAGAGGACCACGACTTCAGGTAGGTGATGCCATAACATGCAAGTGAATTGGATTTAAGTGAGGGAGGGCGGTGCAAAGTCACCAGCCTCACATTCTCTTCCGCAGCCATCTGGGTCCAGTGGCCAGATATAGATGATGACAACTGGAGATGGCCGAGGATGCAGTGGGAGATCTTGGTCTTTTCAAGCTAAGGTCTTTAACAGGTCTCAGTTTGACTGAGGCAATGCCCATTCAGTGATTAAGGTTTAGTTTAATAAGAATTGAGGCAGAGAATGGCCTCTTTACCTAGTCAAAAACTAAAAAATTAAAAATTAAATTAAATAAAAATCGATCTGGGAGGGAAGATCCTTAGGGTTTCTGGCCAAAACAGAAACAATTCCTATTTACGTTCATTCTGAGTCAATCAGGGCCCAAACAATGACCAAGTAGGGCTTGGCTTAGGACCAATTAGAGTCAACTGACTCAATGAGAGTCAATGAGAGGGCTTGGCTTAGGACCTATTTGGCCAGTCAATGAGATTTGGGATTAAGGCTGGTCTTCAATAGAAAAAAAAAAAAAAGTAAGCACATCCTCAAATGGACTTTCCAAGGAAGAAAACCAATGGGACAGGGAGATCTGGAGATGGAGGTTTTGGGTGCCACAGAAGGTACTGGAGGAAGAGGTAGGGAAGTAGTCGTAAGATTCCTGGGCTGAAAAAGGTTTGAAGGGGAGAAAAGTCAATTTTTGAAGTTCAGTGCTATTCCAAAACCACTGTCAGTAGGAGCCCAGATGAGCCTGTAAAAGCTGAGCACTGTCATTCAGCATTAAAATATCCACCCCAAAAAAAAATATTTGGGGGGATTTTTTTTAATGAAGCCAAAGAAGCAGAATTAAGCCATGACTTGAAACAACTGAACAAACACAAAAGAGGCACACTTCCAGCTTTTAGTCTACGTTTTAGTACAGTGAAGCACGACATTACCAGGGGAGCACCAAGAATCATTTTTTGAATGGGGTTTTCCATAGCTAAAGAATTATTGACATAGTGGATAATTTACTGGTAATAAGCCTCCATATTTAGATAAGCTGGTACTCACACAGCTGACTCCACCTATCACATGGAACCTGCCAGAGTTTATGTTCCACTGGCAGAGCTTTCAAGAACTCAGGGTCACTTTCATACCACTATGAGGTACCCAAACACACTTAAACAATTTTCTGTTTCCCTTTTATTCTAGCTTTGAACATCATTATGTAATCTGTGATACCACCAATTAAAGAGAGTGTGAGATGGCAACTTTCATGAGTTATGAATACTTATGAATTATGGCAACACTTCCCAAAGGACCAGGATGTCCTTTACCATTAAGAAAGACCTCCTTTATTCAAATAGCATCTTGTTTCAATGACAGAGTTAATTTGTGTCTTATGTATAAGTTAAATTGATTTTATTTAATACTTATTGAGAGTTTGATGTGTTAAGTACTCTACAAAGCAATGAACATATGTTCCCCATGATGGGTTGAGTGATTCATTCTAAAAGAACTCACTTAGCCTCATGAAAAGCCCTAAATAAATGAATAGGAGAGGAAATATGAATTCTCCTTCCACCTAAGTATCTTAGGAATTAATAGTACTGAGAGCAAAGAAAATCCCATGAAATTCTTGAAAGTTTCATCTGACTTAATACTGCTGATTTGCTGGTTAATATAACCAAATGCAAAGTTGCTGGATGAAATTATGTTACAGATATTCCATATATGAAGATTTTCAAGGGTCATTTTCAAGTGGTCATCCTTAGTGATCTACCTACACATACTGGAAAATTCAACAAATATGTAAAATTTTGGAAATCCTTCAAAAGTTTAATTGCAGCTGGACAATTACTTTATTAAACTACAAAAGAAGTATATCTCAAGCAGTAGCATACCTAAATTCAAACCATATATTACAGAAAGTCAGCCTCTGAAACTGAAAGTTAATCAGATAATTTTATAAATTAAGTGTGCAACCATTAAGCACCTCACCTCCCATCACCACAAATAGAGAAAAGAAAGGAAACTCATTCTGTACCTTTTCCAGAACATCCTGTCACCAAAGTGTCTTAAGACCTGCATTAATCTTCTTGCAGCACTGTTGTACATACCTGCTGAGTGAGAAGACTGATGTGACTGGATGGGGAATACTGCCGTGCTGCTTGTTTCTCAGCCAGCCGCTGAAGCTCAGCTGTGACCATGCTCTGATTGTATCGTTTGCCAAAGGTAGTGCTACCATCTCCATCCTTGGGTGTTTTGGCTAAGCCTGCTTGGTGTCTACTTGGATGGCATGTACCTGCTAAATTAAAGAATGACAAGGAATTTTCATCCACTTGACTGAGAAGTCTTACAAGCAATCAGAATGATGGCCAAGAACTTATCAAGCAGATTTTTTTTTTTCTGAATTCTGGATCTTTGTTTACAATTCAAATAATAACAGGTGAAGACACTTTACATGCACATATAAAATATCTCAAAAGACTGTATCACATAAAGAAGTTAAGTTCTTAAACTGTATTTCTTGCCATAGTTTCACTTAGAAAGTTTAACCAATAACTATTTTCTATGTATGTTCAGGGGTCAGTTGGATTAATAAATGCTTTTTAAGGTTACTTGTAGCTCTAACATTATGTGACTAAAAAAACAGTAGTTGATAAGGTAGTGACTGATTTTATGATTTACTAACAATGATAAAAATCATGTCCTTGATGTTTGTTCATGCAATTTTACTTACATTTCTTGTTTGTTTGTTTAAAGCTGAAGCAAACCACTTTATTTTTCAGTATTTGTTTAGCCTGGTATTTCTAAGGTACCCACTACCATGATATCCATAGTTTTCCTAAGAAGCTCCAAATGGGAAAAGGGAAAAAAACATAGTTGAGTACACTCAGAACCATACTCACTATCTTATATTCTGGAACATTGGCCTTTCCCTTTAGAACTGCTTTAAATTTCTTTCTTTGATTAAGTTTTCACTACCAAGCTGAGCCTTCATTGAGCATTTGGGTCTGTGTAAGTTTTTACATACAATAAAAAAGAAGATGCTATTTTACAAGTGCCACGAAAATTTTAATGATTTGAAAGGGCACACTTTCCTCAACTTTGACAAACTCAATCTACTTGAAATTTTCCTTCCTAAGAAAGATCCCATTTAACCCGTTAAGGTTCTTTATAGTGTGCATCTGCATTAACATTAAGTCTTTTTTCCTTTCTTCCCTTTTCTTGAAGCCACTGTCAGAAATGGAATAAACAGCTGGTCAGTTCACAGGTCTCTTCCCACCTGGCAATTTTTATGTTCTTATCACAGCCTATAGCTAATGTGAAACAATGAAACTGTCTTTCATTCTTAATCTATAAAATGAGACTTTTCGATCCTTTCATATCTTAATGAAGCAAGAAAAAATAATGTACTTTTTTTCACATAAATTTGGAAATGAAATTACTAGGGATACATTATGCCAAAATATTACTTCACAGAATAGGAAGCTGAAGGAACTAACGATGAATATGAAATTAACCCCCATTCCACTCACTATGTGTTTTAATCCTGATCTGTCCAGTAGTCCAGGGAATCTCTCAATTAGCAGGCATGTCTTTTAAAGATTCAACTCCAAATGTAAGATCACATTAGCTAAATTCAAGAATAATTCTCATTTTAAAACAAGAATAGTATCTACAGGTGCATTAGGAATAATTTGCTAATTGTGTCTGAATTAGTAAGTTATGAGTTTAGAGATATCCTAAAATATTAAATTAACACATACTTCATGTATAAAAATATAAAAAAAAAAGCAGTTCAGAATCAAAAACTTTATTGCCCAAATAGTTACACTCACCTGCTTTAGCTGAGGAGGGCCGGGAGAGTTTCTGGCTATATATCTGCGCAGCACTTTGAAATGAGGAGAAGGGGCCAATGGTATAACTGCCAGACCGACAGCGCGGTAGCACCGCTGGACTAGGGACACGATGTGACACCGAATGTGGGGAGGGAGAACAGTTATCAGGGGTTGCACTCTCTAAAGCAGTTGGTTGATGAGCCACATTGGAGATAACTGGAGGAACTTGGGAAAAAGCAGAGTGATGACTAGGTACTGGTGTGAGGTCAGAGGATGAAATCAGAGATGTCAAATGGGAGTTGGGAATTTTCTGAAGAATAGCACTAGGACGAGAGGATGGACAAAGGGAAGTGCTATAGGGGAATTTACTCTCTTTTTCTGTTGATGTGGTAAATCCTGTTAAAAGAATTAAAAAGAATCAGACTACTTCAAGGAGTATGGGTAATAAAACAACACTATACAGACAGAGAAAAATTGAAAACAAAGCCACTTTTGCCTGAGGGGTGTCTCAAAAAAGTGATTCCAATTTGTGTTCTTCAAGAACTTAAGGAGTTTTGTCTATCAAAGATGACCTTGATTACTATACTTGGCAAATGGAACAAAACAAAAGATGAGAGTTTGTTTTTAATCCCCTTTAAGACTCAAAGATCGGTTACCTTCAAAAAGTAGACTGGGCAAATTTTTGTAATGCTTGACAATTACGGTAAAGTTTCCAGGAGAGGTAGACTATTACTGCCTTGTTTCACTTCATTCACCCTTTCCTCTCCACCCCTCATCCTCATGGAAAATGCAGAAAGTAACTGGAGTTCCAATGGATTTTTAACTAAAATCAGAATTTAAAAAACTCTCTGGATGAGAAAAAGATTATTAATGGAAAAAAAGGATCTGGAAGAGAAAGGAGCACTTTCAGGGGGTAATACCATCTCTCTCAGCATCATCTCTTTAATATCTTGTGATTTCTATTTATTTCTGGTTCAAAGTTATCTTACTACTTTCTAGGGATTTCTTTCACGATATTAAATCTGTCCAAAACTTCTGCTCTCTTTAAACTTCAGTACCACTCCCACTCTCTCTCTCAGCAAACAAACATGCCTATACTTTACTGAAGGGTTTGAGGCCATCTATCACACCTCACCTAACTTCCCTCAAAACTTCTCTATTTAGTCAGCCATTCTCCCTTCCCTTGCACTAACCTTTAAGGCTTTCCTCCTTACTACAGAGAAAATTATTTTGTGTCCTTGATCTCATGAAAAGTCTTATCAACACAACCTCCACAGTATCACTTACATCTGTCTTCTCTCTACTTACATAGCTATCAGCCTGATTCAGGCCCTCAGACTACTGAATGGATTGCTGCAATAGTCCAAGCAGTCTCCAAGGCTCCCTGCCTCCAGTCTTTCACCCTCTTCAAACCACGCTCCACAAAACTTCCAAAATTATATTCCTAAAGCACAGGCCTGACCATGTCACTCCCTGCTCTAAAAGTTCCAATAGTTTCTTGTTGCCTTTATGATCAATTACAATCTCATCTGATTGGCATTTAACATCTGACACAATCTAATGCCAATCTATGTTTTCAGACTTACTCCACATCACTCCGTCTCTTTGTTAACTTCACTCAATACATGTAGCCAAACAAGCCTCTCTGCTGTCGTGTCTAGCCCCTACCTCTGTGCCTCTGAATAAGCTGTGCTCCTTCCTGGACTGTATTCCTTCCTCTCCCCGTTTCCTTCAAAATACAGCTCAAGTGACACCTCCTGGATGAGGGCTTTCTTGATCCCCAGACACCACTTCCTCCACTATCCCCAACATTTTCTTGTATTTTTGTATGTTTTGTATATACGTAGGATTGTATCCTCCACTAGAACATGAACTGCTTGAGGCCAGACACTATTTGGTTTTTCTTTTTCTATCTCCAGGGCCAAGGCTTGGCACATAGGAGGTACTTAATAAATGTTTACTGACTGATTGATCCAGTAAAGCTTCCTCCTGGATCTGACTCTACTGATGATCTCCCTCTCTCTGCTGGCTTTCTCCTGTGGCCGTAAATCTGCCCAGTTCCCTCCTACCTTCAAAAATTATCCCTTGATCCTTCTGTACCCTCCATTTACTGTCCTAAATATTTTCTCTTTCACTGCTGTCTAGAAAGAGTAATCTACGCTCAAGTCTACCTCACCATCTATCCTCAAGTCCCTGTAAATTGTCCTCCTTTGGTCCTAAGGTCACCAATGATAACTTAATTGCCAAAACCAACAACTTTTTCTTAGTTGTCATCCACTTTAACCTTTCTGCAGCATCTGAAGCATCAGTTATCATTCTGAGTCCTCTTTTGTCTTTTGTTTTCCACATCACTGCTTTTTCTCCTGGTTATATTCCCTCTTTCCCAACGTTTTCTTTTAGTCTCCTCTTTCCTCATCATTTCCCTGCCTTTTATGTGAGACTATATCTCAAAGTTCTATACTGGACCCTCTTCTTTCTTCACATTCTCCCCCTTAAAGATCATTATCTGCTCTCACAATCTCAAATACCACTAATCAAAAGATGATGTCCTAATTTATATAGCCAATCCTAATCTCTTTATTTCCTGTCCAGCATTTCCAACAATTTTCTGAACATTTTCACCTGGATATTCAGCTAATACCTCAAAGTCAGTGTGCCTAAAATAAACCATAATCTTCCTCCCTAAATCTGTCCTCCTTCCTCTTTTATTATTTCTGTTGATAAAACCATTGTCCTGATACTTAGGAAGGCTTAAAACTACAGAATTATTTTAGACTCTTTCCTTTACTTATCTATAACAGCCTATGAGTCATCAAATCCCATCAATTCTGCCTCCACAGTGTAATTTACACCCCTCCCCTCCTCTCTACACACACTGCCACTACCCAAAGTCAGTCCCTCTTGAGCCTGTTCAAGCTCATCTGTTCTAATGGAAGATTCTCTCTCTGCCTCCAGATTCTCCCCTCTCCAACTCAATCTTCACAAAGCTGGCAAAATAATTTCCTAAATACATAGGTTGTGACCATGTAATTCTTCTGTTCAAGAACCCTCAAGTGCTCCCTACCAACAGCATAAAATGAAAAAGTCACTGTTGCAGTATTTAACATGATCAAGAGTCGGGCTCTAATCTACCTCGGCAACCTCATTTCACACTATTCCTCTTCATAATTACTATACTACAATCTTGTTTCTCAACATTCAGACTATTTCTCTTCCCCAAAACATACTCCCTCTTTATCCCAGTCTCCTGAAATTCTTATCTTTCTTCAAGATCCATCCCAGATGCAATCTCCTCCATGATGGCCTTCACTCTTATCTTCCTGGATGAAAATGATTTCTCTCCTCTCAAATTTCTTCTTGTGCCTTTCCTGGATCTCTTCTTTGCCTCCAACTGCATTGTGTCCTATATCACAATTATTTGTGTATCTGTCATATTCCAACTAGTAGCCTGTAAGTTCTTTGAGGACATGCATTGTAGTTTTTCATATCCCCCAGGATGTATCACAGTGACCTGTGGAGAGTACAAGCTTAATAACTGTTGAACTGTCCTGTTTTAAAAAAGACTTACGTGATAATTTGTCACAATGAAGTTCTGCTCCCTGCTGATGTTTGGGCTGCTTGATTCTTACTTCTTCCACTGTCTCAGGATGGTCTGATATATGAAATTTTGAGAATTTAGATAATTGTGCTGAGTTATAAAATCACAAACACTACATCCATTTTGCATAAAGAAATAACTAAGGCAGAACAAGACTGCATCAATTGTAAAGTATTACAAAACAAGTTAGCCACAAAAAGAATTTCCATCTCTTACATAGAATTGTGGTGTCTCCTTACCATGTCAGAATAGCCCAATATACATAATGGGAAATCAGTGTCATCTTCTCAAGTGTCTGGGTTCATATGGTAACAAAGGAACCAAAAAATACTTATTTCAAATTGATTAATGTCATTGAAATATGGCAGATGAAGTCACCTTTATTGACCAAATAAGACTATTAGCTGTTCCTTAGCCCTATCCTGTCCTTCCCTAATTCTAGGAATTTAGGAAAACCATTATCTATGCCAGGGATACATTTCTCTCACATTTCCTGGTGAAATTATTCTCGTTCTAGTTCAAATACTACCTCTTCCATGATGACCTCCCTGACTCTTACAAGTAAAAGTGCTCCCTTCCTACTCAAGTATCTTACAGTATTTTGCCTAAATCACTCCTTTGCAAGGTAAACATGTACATAAATATGTGTACTTCTTACTCTCTTATTAAATTGTAAATTCCTTTAGAACAGAAACTTTTTTTCCACCTTTGCCTCTCTAGTACCTAGCACATAGAAGAATGCTTAATAAACACTTACTGGATTGAATTAAATGGTAACACTGTCTCAAACTCTTTTGTTTTTAAAGCAACATATTCACCCACAATAATTTGCAATACTCTAGGGCAAGGGTTCTTAACCTGGGATCTGTGCACATATTTTCTTAATATTTTGATAACTATACTTAAATATAGTTGGTTCTCTTTGTAATCTTATGCATTTTATTTTAGGCACTTAAAAATATTATTCTGAAAAGGGTCAATGGGCTTCAGTAGACTGCCAAGGTGGCCACAATACAAAAAAGGTTAAGAAATCCTGTTCTGGGGATACCTGGTCCTAAAGGTATCCAAAGATAAATCTTCATGTTTGGGTTGGCCCTTATCTTCTACACTAAGGTTAAAGAAGGACCTAACTTCTAACATCTATAGGGTGTAGTAGTTTATACAATTGCCTGTTAGGCTAAATCTCTCTCACCTATTGTCACTTCATTTTACAAAAAAACAGCCTCAAGATGCAAGTAGTTTACATAGACATTTATCTTTTAAATGAAGAGGTGGTTCCTGAACTTATGAACACTCATACTTACAAACTGATGTGGCTTATAAATGATGGTGGCTGTCACCTAAACCCTTCCTCCACTACTGCATGGAAAATGCCTCTTTATGAAATCTCACCCAACCACCAGTAGTCCCAGAGCTGCCATGACTCTACTCCCTCACCACCAGAAAGACCTTTCTGCCTTGAGAACATTTTCCCAATGCTCTTACAGGAGCCTTCTCTCTCTGTTAATCATTCCACTGTAACTATCATGAAGAAATAATATCCTATCTCATGTGGGCCTTATGTCATAATTTTACATAGGTCATACTGCTAAAATGAGATGACTGGGAAAAATGTATAGGTATACAATGAAAAATAAAAACTGACATAACAGACTACTTTCTAGGTTATACAAGTCAGATATGGGAGAAAAAAAAGTGAAGCTTAAGTCAAATTCAGTACCTTTTCTTATTAATGTAAGACAATGACTATTTCCTTGCTCTGTCTGGTCTGTTAGAGTATCATTCTTGGCCTAATTTTCCTATCTACATTCTTCCCCTTGAGCTTCACTATCAGCACTAATACTTACCACCTTTTGCCCCACTATCAGAATAACTGCTGCTGTTCTTGGTGGCTTTCGAATTAGTTCCCAAAAAGACACTTGCAGACTTGTTTTTTTGGGTATAAAAAGTCAAAACCTCCTCCAGTTCAGCCTCACTAAAATAAGCAGAAACAAATCAGAAAAGGATTGTACTTTAGAAAATAAACCTGGAACCAACAAAATTATATGATGTTACAAATGTGGAGAAAAATAAAAGGCATAAAATGTGTGGAAGAAAAACTAAGTACTCTGCTTTTTAGAGACAAGTCTGTCAGGAACAGGTTTATTAATTAAATTTTAAGCATCTCTGCTTAAAGAGCAAGAAATCCAAAGGGACAAAGATCCACTCTGCTTTTGAAAATGTTTGATCCAAGTCATTTTCTCCTTACTATTTATAGTTTGAGAATTCCGTAGTTATGATTCAACAAGGGCATAAAGTTTGGGTAAGTTTTTGATACACCAAACAAAAAAACAGTTAATTATTTTTTGGTGCTCCCCTGGAGAATCATTTCACTAAAACCATTCCATCAGTCTTTAACTACTCCCTCTAAGGAGTTTCCTTTCAAAATAATCAAAAGTAAACTTAAGAGACACTTATGTTAACTGAATTAATCAAGAGTTCTTGCTTTTATTCAGATCATTACTCTAATAATTTTCAGAGATGATTCCCTTCCTGCTGATCAAGCCTCTCCCTTTAGAAATTAGTTGGTCCTTCCATAAGAATGATGAAAAATTATTTCTTTGCAGGATAATATTTTAGAATTGAAAGAAAGATTTTTAAAATTTCTTGTTCAGAACAGATCAAAGCCTTCAGACTAAAGTACTGTTCTAATATAATTTCTTAATATTTTCCTAAAGAGGGAATGGGGAAAGGGGTAAGTATGCTTTCATATATGAAATATCCCTGTAAAGGGAAGATCCAATGAGATGATATAGGGGAAAAGGATCTTGAAAAAGTATAAAGTACTATACAAATACAAAATACACATTAGAGTCACCATAAGGTAATGGATGTCACCGAACCGGATATGCAGTGAAAAAGAGAGGGGTTCAAATCTTTTCTGAGATGCAGTTTCCAGAACTGTAGGAATAACACCACCACTAATACCTACTCGACAAAGTTGTTGTGAAGCTTAAGTGAGACAAACAATGTATGTGACACATTGCAAAACTTAAAATGCCATGTAAATGTCAGCCATAATTATTAATACTTCCCTTATTCAGCATTATCAAGGTATAAGCTATCACACATACGTTTTCCATACAACTGAGGTTCTATCCCACTTGCTTTTCTCATTTCCTGCTTCTAATTGTCTAAGGACTGAGAAACCAAATCATCAAATTTTCTAGGGCGGGGTCTAAGAGTAGACTCTGAAAAAGACCTTGAAGGGCTTTCTGAGCAATGTGTGGGTAGAGCTGTAGCACCAAAACCTGGCTGGTCTCTGTTTGGGCAGTCTGGAGCTCTACTGAGCTTCCTTACTGTCTTTGATTATATTATGGATATAATTGAGATTAATGGATAAAGCATGCTTTAGATCAGTGGGGTGTTACTCTATTGTCATTATTGTTATTTGAATATAAAGAGAGCAAAAAACTTCTGAGGTTGGATCTTGTATCTGAAATACAATCTGAGTAATCACTTTGCACTAGGAATGTGGAAGTACTGTAGAGTAAACTTAAGGATTTCTCTCAGAAGTGAACTTCCTTAAGGTAATGACTTAACAATCCAAATAACGTTCACAATTAACATAAGGTAAGTGAAGATTCCCTTTACTTCCCAGCAATTAACATTGAATCATTCAGTCAGTAAGTGGTACATATTTACTTGTTTCGATATAGAATCTGAAGTCCCTGTGTGATCCTTTTTCCAGAAGACAGATGACTGTGAATCCAGCTAAATAGTTTTACATATTTATCTGACTTAATATATCCCTGAAAGAAACTAAATTCAAAATTCTACTATTTATTAACAGTAGTCATTCTTCAACCACAGAATTAGATATTTCTTCTCTATTTCTCTAAGATTAATATGGCAAATGTTTCCTTCTCAATACTATTTTGTATTTGTCTCAATACCATTCGAGCATTCTTGATCATTTCAGGCCCATTAAGTGTCAGCTAAACAACTGCCAAAATGCTTTTTGTTTGATGTGTTTAACCTTTTTAGTATGAGGGCTAAATTTATACCCAAAGAATGGGTTCTAACATCATGCAGGGGAACACTTAGTGCCATTTGACAATGTTTTAGTGATGGAGCTCTAGGTACAATTTATTTTCAAATGATCAAGGTTATTCTGCCCACTAGGATTCAGATGGTTAAGAGACAACTCATAGGGTTATTTTGATCTTTAGATTTAACTATTTTTGCAAATTTTCCATTTCTGCATAAGGCTTTCCCGTGTGAGTCTCACACTGGATTATTTTGTTGTTTTTGTTTCATGTAAGCTCTTTGAGGATATGAGCTGCTTCGGCTTCTGCCTTTGTATCCTTGGGACATATATAGCATACTGCCTGGCACATAGTAGGTATTTATTAAATGCTTGATTAACTGTTTAAAATCAACTGGCTATGCTGCCTTAATAGGCAGAAATGTACAGATAATATATAATAATCATAGCCTGAATGGTTGTGTGAGGACAGAGAACTAAATGTGTGGATTTGAAATCCCTAAAGGCTAAGCTTGAGCATATGGGACTTCTCAGTTTATCCTATTTTCTATATAAAGTAGGCATGTTGCTCAGAGTGATGAGAAACTGCTAAGTCTCTAACTCATTCAACTTAGGCAAAGTTGCCTAAGTCATCCTGAAATGGCAAGTGAAGGGGAAAAAAATCAGACTGAGAAATGCAAGACGACTCCATCTGAATCACCCCAAGGTGACTCTCAGCACCTCTAGTGTTAGATGCTTTGAAGGAAATTTAGTAGCGGTGTTTGACTACCAAGAAGTGCTTTGACAATCAAAGTTGTGACAACTGCAATATAACTGGACGAGACTCTGAGAGATCCAGTAGACCACACTCATGTTCTCCTTCTGAAAGATGACTTCATTCAGATCCATAAGCAGGAAAAAAAGAAAATATTGGTTTAAGAAATGCTGGGTGGGGTGGGATTGGGGATGAGGGGAATAGAAGATAGCTCGTAATTAAGACTCTCCTCTACCTTGCATGGCTGATGAAGTCCTGAAAGTTTTCGGGGTTCACTCCATCCTCTTCTTCTCCTTCAAGTTTCTTCTTTGGTTTCTTTTCAGCCATTTGTTCTGTTTCCTATGCTCCCACCACCCCCAAACAAACACATAAATAAATATATTCTCCTCTACTGTATCTGCATGCCCTAGTTTTGCCATAAAATAATAGCTTGAGAAAAGGAATGTAGTAGCATAGAAATCTAGAGGACACAGAACTAGCATCAGTAAAATGATGATGATACAGACTGATGGAAAAATACTGAAACTGATATGAATTTGATTGGATGCAGGATGACAGGATACAGACCTCTCCCTTACTCTAAACTCTTTTACTTTATCATTGTGGGCAAACTAGTGATGTACATTTGGTATTTGTGAACTCAGAATATTATTTTAGACCATCATTTTTATAAAGCACATTGAGGTTTCTAAGCAAAAGTTTTCATTTAAATGGAAATTATTATGTTTACACTTCCTATGTATAGTGGCCCTTGTAATTATGCCTTTTGCATTTTCCTGTTGTGGTTTCTAAGGTCACACCATTTTAAAAGCACAGCACTGAGCACAGTGAACACTGCAGTCATCAAGGGATCTGGAAAAGAGATGGGTCCTGGAAGACCCTCTCATATCAGCAAGCCAAATACATTCTATAATCAAAAACCAACTACTTTAAGAGCAGTTCTAGGTAGAGCCGAGGACCAGGAGTCAGCCAAACTGGATGTCATGCCTAGACGTTTGGTTTACCAACCATACTGTACAACCCAGGGAAAGGCACTTGACTTTTCTATGTTTAAGTATTTCTTCAAAGTGACAGCACTATTTCTCAAGGGATTTTGAGACTCTCAAATAAAAAGTCTATACAGATTTTTTTTATAATTAAATGGCAAACTTCATGGGATTTATAGCAAAATAAGGTTAGTGTGTAAAATGTTTCAGAGAAGAAAATCGAATCAATGCCAAAGAGGATACTATATTCATGATCCAAATTTGTATTCAAATCTATTATAGACTATTCAATTTCTAATTGTCTAAACACAAATTAATTACATTACAGATCATCCACGTGTTGCCAGAGTTGTCCAGGTTACATCACAGTCCCAAATGGTTGTGGGGCTAAAGCAATGCTCATTTCAGAGGAAAATTGCCACAAGATTGGTAAATCAGTGATTCTGATCCAAATGGAAGGCTTTGCCTATGGGATGGCACACTCCCCGGGAATGGGTCCTTATTAAGTAATGTAGCCTCATGACCCAATTGGGTTGAAACTGCAGTCTTACTCTGCACAGTGATATCATCTAGTAAATAATGATTACTGCTTAGGAGATAAACATATGCCTCTCTGCCCAGCTGGACTAAGGTTACTATGTTTTCAGTAAATGCAGAAGATAAGAACTGGAGAAAAACAACCACAATACAAGATAGTTTGTTGTTGAATGCTATAAAAAAAGTAGTAGGTGCAATGGGGATTCAAAGGAGGGAAGAGATTGCTATCCAGTTTTCTACAACGTGTGACACAGTTGAGATAACTGAGTTGTAAGGAGCTCAAATAAGCGAACTGGAGTACTAATGAACCCTAGTGATAGGAACCCAACAGTGAAAGGATCATCAGTTTAGATTTTATGATCACAGAAACACAGATTCAGAGCTGGAAGGAACTGCAGAGCTCATCGAGGTCACCCCCCCCATTCTCTCAGCTGAAAACCTTGCCTCACATTTGTAAAATTTTCTGTAAGAAAAAAAAAATGGAAGCCATTCATTGTGAGCTCTCTTCACCCTTTTCTCATTTCCTGTCACTCAAATGTCTTCTGTCACTTTCTCCTTCCCTGTCTCATATGATGGTGCAGCCTTATTCCTTACCTGAGCCATACCCTCTACTTGTTGAAGCAATTCTATTCCATCTCTCTTCTAACAGATTGCCCTCTCTTGTCATCCCCACTCTTTCACTAATTTTCAAACTCCTCCTGTCTACTGACTCCTTCCTTATGGTCTACAAACATGCCCATGTCTACCCCATCCTGAAAAAAACTCTCACTTGATCCTTCCATTCCCACCAATATCAATATATATCGAGAAAAAAGGTATCTACAATGGATGCCTCCACTTTCTCTCCCTCATTCTCTTCTTAACCCCTATAATCTGACTTCCAACCTCAAAACTGCTCTCTCTGAAATGACTAATGATGTCTTAATTGCTAAATCCAATGGCCTTTTCTCTATCCTCATTCTCTTTGACCTCTTTTTACAGCCTTTGAGACTGTTGATTACTCTCTTCTCTCTAGATTTTTGGGATATCACTCTCCTATCAGACCACTCCTTTCTCTGTCACTTTTCCTGGATCCTCTTCCAGATCCCCTAACCATGGGTGTCTCTCAGGATTCTGTCTTGGGCACTCTTCTCTTCTCCCTTTATACTACTTCACTTGATAATCTCATCAGCTCTCATGGATTTAATTACCATCTCTATACTGACAATCTACCTATTCTGCCCCAGACTCTCTAATAACCTCCAATCTCACATCTCCAACTACCTTTCACACATCTTAAAGTGTAATCCAGTAGACATCTTAAATATACTATGACCAAAACAGAACTCATTATCTTTCCTCCTAAACTCAATCATCCCTCCTAACATCATCCTTCCAGACCCTCAGTCTCCCAACCTAGGAATCATCCTGGACTCCTCACTCTCTACCCCGCCCCCTTCACAGGTAAACACACAGGCAGCATCATTTGTTGTACATGAGAACACAGGAGAGCTCCTAACACTAATAGGTGTCCGAGCACAGGTTCACTTTTGATCTGGTCAGACAAGAAGACAGCTTCGAAGGGGTTAAATAAGCTTACTTTATTCTAGTCTAGTCTTCTTAAAAGTAATTTGCTGATAATGAGAGCTCTAACTGCTACTGCACTCCCTAATCACACTTCTCATAGGTGTGGACGAGAAGGGTGGGTGACTCTTACGGGTCCCTAAATCTCAATGAGGGGCAGTTGAGGCAAACACAGATTTCCCCCCGAGCCTTGATGGGGGCCGATCAAGGCAGGTACACACATTCCTCTATGTATTACCCAAATCCCAAAATGGGTTCCCCCACTTACTGACCAGTGCCCACTTGCTCTATTGGGCAACAGACAAAGAAGACATCTTGCCAACCTTAAATTCACAGGTTAACTTTAGCAATATCATCATGACCTAGCATAGCACAGGCGTACATTATGTCATCCCTATATCTCACTAGGCAAGTGTGGTGGAGATGTTTTCAACCATAATTTGTGGGAAAAATTATTTAGGATCCTGGAACTATTATCGAAAAAGGAATAACAAAATCCTCCTTACACACACTAAAATCTACCTTACTTACGCCCCCATATCCAATCTGTGGCCAAAGTCTGTTCATTTCACTTTTGCACCATCTCTCAAGTACACCCCTTCTGCCCTCTGACATTGACACTACTCTAGGGCAGGCCCTCATTACCTCATGACTGGACTACCGCAATAGCCTGTTGTGGGTCCACCTGCCTCAAGTCTCTTCCCACTCCAGTCTACCCTCCATTCAGCCACCAAAGACATTTTTCTAAGGCATAGATCTGATCATGTCATCCTCCTCCCCCCTACCTACCTCAAATGAAAAAATTCCAGTGGCTCCCTGTTACTTCCAGGGTCAAATACAATGTCCTCTGGTCAGCATTCAAAGCCCATCATAACCTAGTCGCCTCCTACCTTTCTAATTTCCTTATATTTTACTCTCTAACATACACTCTGATCCACTGACACGGGCCTCCTACTTGTTGCACGAATAAGACAATCCATTCCTCCACTCTGGGCATTTTCTCTGACTCTCCCTTATGCCTGGAATGTTCTCCCTCTTCTTCTCAGAAGCCTTCTCCATCTCCTCTTATTTTTAGTGCCTTCTCTCTGTTATTTTTTTCCTACTTATCCTGTATATAATTTGCTTTGTATGTATTTATTTATATGTCATTTCCCTCATTACATTGTAAACTCCTTAAGGGCTGGGACTGTCTTTTGCCTCTTTTTATAACCCCAGGGCTTAGCACAATCTCCGGCACATAGTAGGCCTTAATAAATATTGGCTGAGTGACTGATCTAGTTCAACCTCTGCATTATATAAATGAGGAAATTAAGGTCAAAAGAGGTAAAATGAATTGCCTAAACATACAAAAGCAATAGCAGGGCTGGGATTTGAATCCATATTCTGATGCCAAATCCAGTTTCAATACACCAGGATGGACATTATCCATTAGGAGAGCCACTTACCTTGTTGTAGACAATGATGAAGTCACCCAGTTGGTGTGCTAAGATTCTTCTTCTTTCCAGAAGGGCCAATCGCCGGCTGGGTAACACCATTCTCAGGGAATGTTGCAGATTGCTTGATGCACGCTTGAGGAAACGAACTACCAGCTCCTACACCCCCAAAAAGTATAGAATCAAAAGCAGAAAAGTACCAGGAAGCAAAATATAAGCTATGTATGGATGAGGAAAAGGAAATGGAAAGACTATATTATTTGTTTTTCATTCACTTACTTGACAAATATTTATTGACCACCTACAATGTGCAAGGTGTCATGGAGAATACAAATAGAAAAACATATAATCCTTCCTTGCAATAAACTTACAGCCTCCTACAAGAGATGTTGTTCAATTCAAATCAAACAATTATTAAATGCTTAATAACTTACTAAGGACCAGGCTAAGTGCTGAGTATACAAAGTCAAAAATAGTCCTTGCTCTCAAAAACCTTATATTTTATTGGAGAGATAAATAAAATACATAAAAATAAAATAAAAAGCAGCAAGACAAAAAAATAACACCACCACTTAATATTTGAGTTAGCTGGTGGCACAATTAATAGAGTGCTAGGCCTGGAGTCAGGGAAAACTAAGCTCAAATCCAACTTCAAACACTTACTTGCTGTGTGACCACAGGCAAGTCACTTACTGTTTGCCTCAGTTGTCATCTACAAAATGGGGATAATAACAGCACCTGCCTCCCAGGGTTTAGGATCAAATGAACTAATAACTGTAAAGCACTTAGCACAGTTTCTAGTGCATAATAAGCACTATATAAATGTTAATTGTTATTCTTATTATAAATAATGCACCAAAAGATAGAGGATCTAAGTACTTGAAGGAAATTTTAATCTAATAATAGTGAGAAATAAATGGTTAAAGTATAATAGGGATCTTGGTGTGTCTTTTTCAAGATAAAAGTAATCTAACAAAAATCCAGAAAACAAAGCACCAATCAAAAGAAATCATAGGTTGTTATGGAGGAGGAGGACACATATCTCAAGTAATAACAATGGCAAATAAAAAAATTTATAAAGAACCAGGAAAAAGACCTTTGAATATAAAGGAAAGAAAATTCAAATAACAAGACTATTTCATACTCTCTAACACCTGCAGAATATTACAATAAGAAAAGCAAAAAGCTCAAGCTGCAACCCAAAAGACATACCCTGAAAATCTGAACTTAATTATTAATGAAGAGGGACTAATTAGAAGCATTCATGGAGGGAAAAAGAGATAAGATAAATATTTGACTTACAAATATCCCAAAAAAGAGTCACAAGAAAGTTTGTTATTGTTGATGACATAGGCAAAATCATCACAAAACTAATAGTGAAATATTTATGTTTAGCGGTTATTACAAAAAAAAAAAAGGAAGATGCTGACTTGTAGGTAAAATAAAAACAAAACAGAACGATCAAAACATAAAACAGCATTGGAAGTGAAAAGGACATAAGTGGGCATTTTAAAAATATAAGAAGTAAAGATAGTTTAATTTTTTAAAAGATTCTTGTAACCATCACCTGCAGGGCAGCTAGGTGGCACAGTAGATGGAGTACTGGGCCTGGAATCAGGAAGACTCATCCTTCTGAATTCAAAATCTGGCTTCAAACAATTACTAGCTGTGTGACCCTGGACAAGTCACTTAATCCTCTTTGCCTCAGTTTCCTCATCTGTGAAATGAGCTAGAGAAGGAAATAGCAAACCACTCTAGTATCTTTGACAAGAAGACCCCAAATAGGGTCATGAAGAATTGGAGATAACTGAAACAACTCAACAACAACAAAAACCATCACCTCTAAGCGAATCTCCTATTTTGTGAGACAAAACTGCCGAGTTAAGAGAAAATAAATGGAAAGATGGGAGGTGTAAGGATAGAGGACAATGGACAATAACAGTAACAATAATGATAGTTAATATTTACATAATATTTTAAGGTTTGAAAAGCACTTTATATGTAATCTCATTTGATCCTTGCAATAATTATGTGATGTAGTACTATTATTATCTCCATTTTACAGATAAGGAAATTACTGAGAAAGTAAGCTGCTTAGCGTCACATAGCTAGTATATATCTGAGGAGAAATTTCATTGTACTTCATGTATCCCTATCAAATCCCATGGAAAAACAGTTAAAGGATGATGACTCCTCTACAAGAAGACAGGTTTCAAGAGAAGAGTGAAGGTGGAAAAAGGGAGGAATTAAAACTGAAGGAACGAAAGGGAAAGGTCCCATGGAAATACTTCATGGGAGAACTTTATGTCTGAGATTAGAGGTGATTAGTTAGACTTCTTGGTTAGATAAAGGAGATTATGGATTAGACTTCATGATGGATTTACTCTGGGAAGAAAGAGCTGGGACACTGGACACACTTCATGAGAGAGCTGTGTCACCATGGACAACATTCTGTTCCATGAGAAGGGCATTTATGGCAAATGGCACCCAAAAGACTTGGGTTGCATGGGAGAGGGACCAAGAGATGACATTACACAGACAACGGGAAGAAGAACAATCACACCAAGGGCAGTGAGGAGAAATGAATGGCACTATTTGGGACATAAGAGTAATTTCTACCAAAAAGCACAGCTTTCATCCAAATTATTTCCCTTATGAATTGATGCTTCAAAGGGGTAAGGTAGAACAGGAAAAAAAAATGGGAAAATGGGTCAAGATTTAAAAAGCAATAACAGAAATTGTTTAGAATAGAGTACAAATACGCATTTTATAAGATTTAACTTCATGAAGAACATAAAGATATTTTTAAAAAGGAATAAGGAATTAGATCATGAACGTGAGAATAAAACTGCAGAATAGGCAGGATGATAACAGAATTAATGAAGAGAATGAAGCAAGGAAATTCTGAGAAAAAGGAACACAGCTGTCTCCTCAACTTGGCTGAGTGAATATGAGAAAAGCTCAGGTCTATTACAGGTCTTCCCTGCTCACAAAGAATGAAAAAAGAGTACCAGAGTAATGATCAAGAAATCCAGGAAAAAACTGCATTAAGTATAATCTTCCAGTTTAGGTCCATATAAAGAGAGAGCCAGAAGTCTGCAGGCACTTTATACAATAACACCATTTTTAAAAAGAACAATTCTGAAAGACTTAAGAACTCTGATCAATTCAATGACAAGTCATGACTTCAGAGTACTGACAATTTTGGATGTGTGAAAGAAGGTAGGAGTTTGTTTTAATTATTAAATGCTTGTTACAAGGGTCTTTCACACCCTTCCCTCTTTGCTCCCGTGAGAGAGGAGTAAGTGAGGAAAGAAAATAAATGCGGTATCTCGGTAGCATAGTGGATAGAATACTAGGCATGGAGTCAGAAAGACCTGAGTTCATATCTGGTCTAAGACATTTTGCAGTGCTTCTTAAACTGTTTGAGAAGCACTGAAGGGGCTGTGAGTGGAAAAACTTTAAGAAGTCCTGGTGCAGAAAGAAGCTGTATGCCACTGTATCCTTGTGGCATATCCTTGCTGCATTAGCTCAAAGTAAACCTAATTTTTTAAAATGTTCAATAATATAGTGTCTTGTTTCATCCCAATAGCAAACCTGAACTCAGAAAATGCTGGCATTAGAGCTGAATCTCCAACACCTCCTAAAGAAATCCACAAAATCAAAATTCCTAAGAGTATCACAGCCAAAATTGAGAGTTTCCAGGTCAAAGAGAAAAAGTACGGCAGGAAGCCAGAAAGAAAGAGTTCAAGTACAAAGGAATCTTTGCCAGGATGAAACAAGATTTGACAACCTACAACTATATAGAGAACATGAGCTTGAGATACAGTATTCCACGAGGTAAAAAATAAAAGGTTAATTCAAGAATAACCTACCTAGCAAAACTGAGTATAATCTGTTGATATTTTAAAATACAAATAGTGGAGTTGAGAAAAATAAAATGGTATATAGACTATACACTAAAGTATTTATATTCTACACAAGAGAAGAAAAACTCGTATTCTCTTGAAGGGGAAGGGAATAACCATTTATATAGTACCCACTATGTTCCAGGCATATAAAGTCTAGCACTTTATAAATATCTTTTCAGTTAATTTTTGTCCTTCCTTTTCCCAGCTGTTGAGTCTGTCTTGCATACCTCTCGTTTCTTTCCCCATTTTTTTTTCTACCTCTCTCATTGGACTTTTAAAATCCTTCTTGAGCTCTTCTAAGAAGGCTTTTTGGGCTTCAGACCAGTTCATATTCCCTTTTGAGGTTCCAGATGTGGGTTTGTTGACAATGTTGTCCTCTTCAGAATTTCTGCCTTGATCTTCACTCTTCTCATATTATTATGAGAATCTTATGATTCTATCATACATTTCTTTTTGCTCATGGTGTTTGCTTATTTCCTGGCCTTTCCTGGCCTTCCTGGAACTGACCCAAGCTTCTTGTGTTGGGAGCCTAGGGCCTGGTCACTGGCTTTGTGTGCTGGGGCCTCCAATGCTGGCAGTTGGAGGCTATAGGGTTCTGGCAGCTCACCTGGTGTTGGGCTGGAATCAGCAACGCTGCAACTCTAGGCGTAGGATTGGCACCTGGAGGTTGCCTGGTCACCCTGGCCTTTCCTTCCTTTTGCTTTCTTCAGCTCCTTTCAGATGGATGTTGCAGGATGTTTATCCACCTGGGGACCCTTGGAGAGCTGCTTCCCTTAGTTTTGCTGAGGCACTGGGAGAGCCAGTTGCTGCAGAATGCTGAGGCACCCAGTGGTTTTCCAAGCTGGTTTCCACCGGTTCCCTCACCCTCACTGAGGCACTGGGGGTCCAGGTGTTGGTGTCTGCCTTCTCCACACTTGGGTTTCAGGATCTCCTCCTAGTATGCTGAGGTGGGGTTTTCTGTTAGTTTACTGGGATGCTCCTGTTCTGTACTGCTCCCCTTCCCCCAGGGCAAGAGGGGCCTTTCCCATTAATCCCTCAAGCTACCTGGGCTATTAGAGTGCTGCACCCCATCTTTGTTCTGGTTCAGCTGTTCCAGGGTTTTTCCTGGGGCTATATTTTCTGGGCTTTCAGAGGTTAATAAGGGAGGGTAAGAGCGACTTACTTCTTACTCCACCATCTTGACTCCTGGAAGTGGAACCCTATAAATACTATCTCATTTGAGCTTCACAAGAGCCCTATTTGGTAGAT